GGCTTTGTAGAGCAACATAGGGCTAACAAAATCATATTAGCTACTGGTGACGCCAAGCAATTGAGCCCCATAAAAGCACTGACTAACACTAAGAAACACGAGATTTATATGAATGAATGTATTGATAGCATTTTTCCCCATCATTTGTTTTTGGAAGAATGTAAGCGGTTGAAGACTCAGGAGGACAAGGATAAACTTAAAAGTATTTATGCTGACATCTTTGAGCATGAGTTGTTTCTACATGAGATCATCAATAAGTATTTTAAATATACTGATGACATCGCAGGAACAGAAAGCAATGTCGCATATTTAAATAACACTTGTAGAGAGGTTTCAAGGCAGATCAGGAAACGACAGGGCAAACAAAATGAGTTTGAAGTCGGCGAGATCATGATATGCAGAGAGTATAGGAAGACAAAAACCTATAAGTTAAATGTGAATTTTAGGTATGAGATAATTAATATTTCCGATCCTTGGATTACCATTGCTAATATCAAAACACGAGAAGAGATTACATTACATATTGGTATCTTGAGAAGTCATTTTATCTTTGCCTTCTGTTATACTTGTCATTCTGTTCAGGGGTGTTCCATTGATGACGATGTCGTGATATTTGATTGGAACCATCATCTGATAACTCGCGAGTGGCTTTGGACGGGAATCACACGGGCAAGGGATTTAAACAGAGTAATTTTTTACAAATACAGTAGTGATTTAAATGAAGAGTTTAACGCAAAATGCATTATGAATTATTTTGATAGAAAGGTGTTAGCATACAAGGAACAGGATCGTAAAAATGGCTTTGGTATTCCAAAAGAAAATTATGTAGATGCCGAATGGTTGAAGGACAACGTCAATGGCAAGTGTGCCAACTGTGGCTGTGGTTCCGTGTTGTCAATGGATTCTGGTAATATAAATTCTAATCTGACTTGTCAAAGGTTATGTAATGATCTTCCCCATACAAAGGATAATGTCATTGCCTTCTGTGCTTCTTGTAATAGATGCTTCAGTGATAAAATAACATATTGATATTTATTTTATAGTATTATATATATGAGTGAAAAAGACAAGATAATCAGTGAGGTCTACTACGATCAGGCTGGGTTTGGTAGCATCGCCACCACTTACAAAGATGCAAAAAAGAAAGATGCATCCATAACAATGCAAGATGTCAAGGAGTGGTTTCAAGAGAACGTGGAACGGAAAAAACAACTGTCTGGATACAATTCGTTTATTGCCCCTGATATCAACTTTGAATATCAATTGGATCTGTTTTTTATATCAAAAAATGATTTAGATAATCAAAAATATAGGATAGGCTTATTGCTTATTGATGTATTTTCCCGCAAAGCCGTGGTGGTGCCTATTGCATCCAAGCAACCTGCCAACATCACGGCTGGGATCATGGAGGCATTGAACAAAATGGGAGGGAAACCCAAATTAATTTATTCGGATGACGAGGGGAGTCTCAATACCCAAGATCTTGTCGATTTTTTCAAGGACGAAGGGGTCCAAAACTATAAAACACGAGGGCACCCCCATTTCGCCGAGCGTTTCATTCGCACGTTCAAGGACATGCTTTTCAAGAGGGTGGATGCAGACGAGAAAAAGGGAAAGGTTAATATACAATGGGTTGATTATATCCCCGAGATCATGCTGACATACAACAGTAAAATGGTTCATTCTGCCCACGATATGACTCCAAACGATGCCCACAAAAAGGGAAACCATCTTGAGGTCAAGATGAAGCTTGAGATGAACAGAATCAAAACCCGTAAATATCCCCCTGTTAGGGTTGGCGATGAGGTCAAAATATACCGCAAAAAAGGGATTTCCGAGAAAGAAAGAACGAGCAACTGGAGCAGTGTCAAATACAAGGTTTCAAGGGTTGAAAAAAAACTTGGTCAAGATTATTATTCTGTTGAAGGGATGAACCGCCCCTACTTGAGGTCAGAGATTCTGAAGGTTTGAAAAAATAATATCTAAACGGTTCTAATAGCTGATGAATCTATTAGAACTGTTTAGTGGGACAGGGTCGGTCGGTCGCATCGCCCGTGATCTGGGGTTCAATGTCATTTCACTGGATTTGAAGGGTGCTGACATAAACCAAGATATTTTACATTGGGATTACAAACAGTTTGATCGGAATCACTTTGACATAATTTGGGCTTCTCCCCCGTGCACTGAATACAGTAGAGCCAAGACAACAGGGATCCGCAAAATAGACGATGCAAATTCCATTGTTTTGAAGACCCTTGAGATCATTGAGTATTTTAAGCCCCGTTATTGGTTTATTGAAAATCCCCAAACTGGACTGTTGAAAGAACAGGAGTTTATGAAAGGGTTACCTTTTTTGGATGTTGACTATTGCAAATATGGGATGAGATACAGAAAGAGAACTAGGATCTGGACTAACCTAACGACATGGAAACCAAAACCATTGTGTAAAAGGGATTGTGGGAATGTGGTTGATGGGAAGCATGTTGAAACTGCGCAACGGTTGCCACCCGGAAAGAGGAATGAATGGGGTTTAAATCCTATCGTTCATACTGTTGATGAGTTGTATCGGATACCCCAAAGTCTAATTAGTGATATATTTAGTGTTATTTAGGGGGAACCCAAACAGCAAACACCCGACCACCCAAAATGAGGCCCCCCGAGCGCGAACTCGGTCGTCATACCTGCGCAAATGGAGATGCGGGAAGGCTGATTTAACGGGTTGTTGAATGCAAGAGCGGTTCGCAACTCAACACCTCCCTGTCCCAATGCAAAGTCAAGTTTTTTCACAGTTTGCCAAAGCAGTATGTGAGTGCACCATGTGACCTACAGCGTCCCTTCTTGAATGGATTTGGTCAAAGGGTGCTTTGAAACTGGTCAAAGGGTGCTTTGAAACTGGTCAAAGGGTGCTTTGAAACTGGTCAAAGGGTGCTTTGAAACTGGTCAAAGGGTGCTTTGAAACTGGTCAAAGGGTGCTTTGAAACTGGTCAAAGGGTGCTTTGAAACTGGTCAAAGGGTCGCTGGGTTGGCACATGCAAGGGCTTACATAGCGACATCAGAGAAAAGTTTATGAGTTATAAATGTAGAGACTGTGAGATGCTAAAATTACCAATTAAACAAGGTTTTTTGAATGGTGTTTGTGATAATATTTGTCAATGTGTGATATGTGATAATTGCAATAAAATTATAAACGAAATTGATGATGTGAATAGCAAATATATTAATACTAGAAATGTTCAAAATATTGATGAAGATTTAGAAATATTTGTGTTTATTAAAATGAATAAGTTCTTGACTGAAGAAGAGTTTGGAAATTTATTATATAAGGGCGATGAGGAAGGAAATGATAATGATTTTATTTTTAAGTATTATAATCTGGTAAAAAGATTATATGGTATGTCTTTTAATATTAGGCGTTTAATGAAAGAAGCATTGAATGATAATGACTTTGATTTTTTAAGTTGTGAGTATAAAGCTCACGAACTTAGATCTACGGTAATAAGTGCAATTAGAACAATGGGCTTGTTTAAAAAGGAAATAGGAAATAATATTTATAATGAAAAAACAGTTGATAAAATAATGAAACGAATTATAAATGAATTCTAAAATTGATTAGAAATAGAGTTGAACTCATAATATAATTATAACATATAAATGTTTACATGTTATAATTATACTGTACTTTTCCCGTATAAGCCGTGGGGGTGCTTTCCTACATAGGCCTTTCCCATCCGCATATTGCCATCCAATGTCACACAGATTGTTTTCAAGATTTGGGTTAACGGTTTTAATTCTCCCTTTTCCATTGGTTAACCATTTTTCGGGGCGAACATAGGGTTCTTTTTTAGACTGTTCGTATTTGTTGGAAATGGGAAAGGGTTGCAGTTTGGATCAAGGGAGAAATTATTGAGATCTTGGGGTTGCGATCTTGGGAATGAAAAAATGTTGGTATGTAGCTTGGATTTTTTTGGTGGGATTTGTTGAGGTGGTATGTAGTTATGATTGTTGTTATTGAATGAGCATAGGGGTGATGTTGAGATGGGGTAAGAAATGAAGATTCATATGTGAATATGTTTTTTTTGGTGTTGGATTGGTTGGGTGATTGAATTTGAATGTTGAAAATAGGTTGTTTTAGTGGGTGTATTCAGAATGTGCCCAAAAGTGTGGGGGGGACCCTAGGACCGGATGGCAAAATGCGGACGGGAAAGGCCCTGTCTAACTCTTAAGGGGGTGATCTGCTTTGAACTCCTCGCTTAAACTAAGCATCTGAGAAACCGGGCCTCAAAATTGGGTTCACACATGGGTCCACCCCTTGCTAAACATGCGGGTGTGTCTTGTTTGGGGAAACCCATTTTGAGCTTGTTTTGAAGAAGCACCAAAGGGAATTCAACCGTTTTCGGCTTCACCCAATGTATGAACCACTATTCCAACAACCTCCTGCTGGCTTCCCCTTGAGTCAATGGGAGTTGCAAGATGTTTGGACACGCCTTCCTGTCCAAACTCCAAACTTCGAATCATGGGGTCCCTTTAAAGACTAGAGAGTCCATGTATCTTCCAGGATTCCAAGGCGGCACTTCCCCAAAAACCATCCTCATGCAATCAAATCTATGGATGCCGAAATCCAAATCCTTGTATATCAAGTAGCGGTGTGGATGCGGCTTTTGTGGATCCACCCCTGCATACAACAAGCGTATGAAAAAGAGTGCCAATCCGCGCAACAGACACACGCACAGCCAACCCGTTTGCAAGAGTATAGTGTGGCTTCAAGGCGCCACTTGTCTGAATTCCGTTTGGGCAATCCTTGTATATAAATCCTTCAGCAGCGTGTTGCGGGTACCCATTGCTTTTTGGTCTTAAAGCGAAATCAACGGGAAAATTACAATTTTGGGGGCATCCCCTAAGAAAAGACACATGCGATGAACTGAGCTGTATTTTTGTTTGGAAAATCACTATCATCATGTAGGGCCTTCACTGAGGAGGGGGGGCTTACTTCAATCTTTGAG